GCGCGTGCAGGTCGGTGCGGGAGCCGGGAGCGGGCGGGGGGCAGCGCGGCGTAGGTGCGGGCGATGCCGGCGGCCCGTGGGCTCGGGAGGGATGGAGGGAGCCGCGCGGCGGGCGCCGCCGCGGAACCGCCACGCAGGTCGCGGCGCTGCAGCCCCGTCCTCGCCCGGCTGCGCGTCTCCGCCGAGGGCCCCTCCGCGAGCAGCACCAGCCGGGAGCGGGCGGGGGGCAGCGCGGCGCAGGTGCGGGCGATGCCGGCGGCCCGTGGGCTCGGGAGGGATGGAGGGAGCCGCGCGGCGGGCGCCCCGCGGGAACCGCCACGCAGGTCGCGGCGCTGCAGCCCCGTCCTCGCCCGGCTGCGCGTCTCCGCCGAGGGCCCCTCCGCGAGCAGCACCTGCGGGGCGGGCCCCGCGCGGCCGGGCGCCCTGCCTCCGCCCTGCGATACGGGCCTCTCTGCGTGAGCCGTTTGCCCCGAAACTGCGGAGAAACGAAGACTAAACCAAGGGCAGYGGCCGCGCGAGGCTCCCTCTGAGGCGTTGAGCGTTATCCCGAGCCCCTTGTGTTTCCATGGATCGTAGCAGTCACCTTTGGAAGCGCTAAGGCGCTCCCTTAGGCGTTGTTTAATCACCTGGGCACCTGGYTTGCAGTATAAAAGGAGATTCCGTTTGTATCTCGCTTCCACATCCTACCTGCGTGGCGCTCCTCGCAGTGGCGTCTCACCGGCCGTGCTCGTCCTGTTGCTTTTACACGCTGCAACTTTCTCAGCAGAGCGTTTTCGGTCCGAGAAATGCCGGTTAAATCCGAGGCGCCCGTGGGAATTTGTCGGTGTCAGCAGAACTTTGCTCAGAAACCTGCCTGGTTTGCTGCCAGTTTCCGTGGCCGCTTGGCCGCGTGCCTGGTGGGTTGCTGTGGAGCCGGACCCGGCGCGCGGGGCCCTTGGCTCCAGCTCAGATTCGCAGCGGAGCTGCCAGCCTGTCCCCGGCGCTGCAGAGGTGGCACCGGAGCCGTCGGGAGAATTCTGGTCAGCTTAACCCGCGATGCTTCGGCTTGGGGACTAGCAGAAAGATAAAATCACGTCCCTCCCCATTGTCATTAAATTTAGATCTGTTTCTAGAAAAATGGAGCGCTTTTTTGGTGATGGAAATGCCTTTTTTTCGTCCAGGCCTGTTTTGTTCTGACCCGCTTGAAGCGGACAGCACCTAGTTGCTGGATCCTCTTCAGTGACACTATTGCCRTTTTCTTGGGAGTCATTTCTCCTATATTCATAAAGATTTCAGTAATGAGGCATCTGGAAGCATCAGTTTTGCGTGTTTTTTCTCCATCCTTCTGGCCTGCCAATAGGAAAGCAAAACATGTCCAGGTAGAGCATTTCAGAGCACAGAAGGTTTTTCYTGTCAGTCTCTAATGACCCAATTTTTCTCTGAAAATCACTCTCTAGGTTTTGTTGAGGCTTGCTTTAAAATTTTCGTGGTGTCTTTCCTCATTGTCCTTTGGACTTGAAGTGTGACTCTTCACAGCCTGACGTGTTAGCAAGAAGTTACTGAAGAGCCTCAGCCTAAATTTCTAGATTTCAGGGTAACCTTAAATGTGTTAGCATGGAGTGTTAAAGTGCATGGAACTGTAGCTGTTTCTGACTGTGCTTGGAGGGTTCATCTCCTATGAGGCTCTCACTGGTAGATGTAGATCATGTGCTTGCTGGAGGAGAGGGAGGTTTTTTGCCTTCCTTTTCTTTACCAACAAGAGCTTTTCAGCTTTTGGTTTGTATAGAGGAATTTTGGCCCTCAATTGCTATTGCAGCTTTTGAATTTTGGCTCCTATCTTTCATTGATATTTGCATCAACATACAAAAATAATGTTTTCTATCTTCTTTTTTTTCCCCTTCGGAAAAGGTGTTAACTGCTGGTCAAAAGACACAGAAAAATAACAGATGGTTTGAACTACACTGAAAAACAATTTGGTAGTTAAGAAGATTAGCTACATCGACTTGATTTTTAGATTAATTTTTGACTTCYCACCCCAGAAAGCCGCCTATTTTTTGCACTTAAAATACCGTACACTTAACTCTGTGTACTGCAGTAATGGTTTTATGCAAAATGCTTCTGCTTTCGTGTTTGGGAAAACAGCATACATCTCTTGTACATACATTTTACATGAGKTTATGAGGTATTTATAAATCCTC